CTACGTATGAACAATTTCTTAAAGGAAGTAAGTTATTGACAAACAAGCTGATGAAACAAGAATATTAACACTCTCGTTTAAAGTCGTCATTTTGGGAATTCTTAGGTCGATACAATGACCTTGTCAGCAAATACAGCAATGCAATTTATCATTGAGTTAAATGCTGACTGACGTTTTTCATACTTACTTATTATTAGTCCATTATTTATGCACTGAATTGAAGACGAATCGTCTTTTATGATTCATTAAGCGGAGCACACGGCGGGTGTGACGGTCAGCAGGGGATGCTCTCTCCCCCATGGCACCTGATTCAATATCAGATGTTTTCGAGGTTCAACTTTGCTTTGCTCCTATGTATTTTGTATTATTCATTTAATGGTCTTTTGATCTTGAATACTGTTCGTTATCATCATTATTTTTTTTTCTTCAATGTTCTTTAGTTTTCAAAGAGACTTTAAACAAATTTATAATTTGTTATTGTACTTCTTTATTTGTTTCATGTAGCACACATTTGAGGTCAAAACTTGTTTTTCATAAGAAAAGCTCATTATTTTTTCATACAGTTTTTAAGAAATTAACTCTTATTTAACTCTTGAATATTTCTTATGAACAATTTATATTGATATCCCTGTTCAGAGATTTCTATTTTATATTCAAATGCAATTATGCCTGAGTTCGATATATATATGCTATTTCTATTTTCATTTGCATCTTTCACGTATTAACTAAACTGTAAATGCAAAGGGCGTATACTAGTTAGTGCGATATGGCCATTGATTAAAAGTTAGAAACAACAGGATCGATTTATATTAAAGTGCTAAAATTGATTAAAAGTACTATGAAATCTGCAGGTAAGCTATACGTCTTTTTAATTAAAATAGTGAATATACAAGGAATTGTTAATTAAATAGGTCTGAACTTAATTTAATTCCTAAGAATTTCAACTTATATGCTTTAAATATGCAGTTTTTTCCCATTGTTTTTAACTTAAGAAGTCTCCTTCACAATTACTTGAAATATAGGTGACCATAATTATAATTCTCTGTACGCAAATAAAATGATTACAAAATAATAACCTTAAAGCTCCTTTCCATTCAGCAATAAAAAGTAACCATTGTCCTTTGATTCAACTATCCATGAGAAGTGTGTTTTGCTTGGTAAGGGGCTCTCGGTATCAAAGATCAATCCTAATTCTAGTTTTGAATAAAAGTTGAAACTTTATATACTTTAACTATATATTTTTAAAAATAATTGACCAATAACAATCATTTTTATCTATGACATAATATTTACAAACTAAAAAGTCCTTTACTATTTTAAGAGTATGCATATATATCAGATCGAGTTTTAATTTGAATCAGTATCCAATGAACAAAAAAACCCTTTTTAGCAACCTGCTGTTATGATTAATCAGTATTACATTTAATTTGTCATTTCATATATACATATCAAAGTAATCTATTAAAAGCATTAAACAAAATTAGCCGTTGTGTTTCATTCTTTCAATGTTTTTTCGGAACGTCTATAGAATGACCTGAAATCTTTTGTTGACATAAACCTCAGTTTAAAAATGGATTCTAGCATGGCACATAAGAGAATGTCCCAATGTATATGCAAGATCATGGAGCATACAGAAGTATTATTAAAACATTATCAAAACAGTGATTTTTATTTTCACATGAAGCTCGTTTTATAATTCTACACTTTCAAATATTTTATAAAATCATTTAAAAAGTTATTTCTTGATTAAATATGCTTACAAACCTTGAATGCACTGCAACGGGCAAACGGTTAAGATAAGTTACGTCATTTTACAATGTTTAGATATCTTATCAGTATAATGTAGACGGAAGATCACAACTGTTTACTTTAATGCCCTAGTTTAAGTTTTGTGAATTTGTTTTAAGCACATTCTTACCCGGCAGCTTGAAAAAAATTCTTGTACATTATAATTTGTTTCTGAAAGATTATACATGTAACAATCTTATGAAAGGTACTAGTATTTTTTTTTTAAAGTTCAGTTTCTATTGCCATTGGTATTTGTTCATGAAATATTTTAGCACAATTTAATGTATGCTTTTTAAAACTTTTTTTAAACTAAAAACTATACTCTTATAGTTGTATGACTTTTTTAACCAAGAAAAGTGTGTTTGACCCTTATATTACATGTACCATGAGGACGTCAACGCAGTATCATCCTTTTGCATTTTTATGCGCCCGGATCGATATATCGAGGGTACATTTTGTTTTTGTCGTGTCTGTTTGTCTGTATAGACAGACGAATGAATGAACAGGAAGTTGACATTGAATTTGAATAAAAATGTATTCCACTATATGACATGACTCAACAAAGAAAGTGCTAAAATTTCAAGTATCTGCGATGAGGAGTTGCTGAGAAAAATGTGACCAAAATGTGCTTCGGACAGACAGACAGATACCTACGTAGACAAACACATAAGGGTAAACAGACTAGCCCTCTCTGCTTTGGAGCTGGAGCTGGGGTATAGTTAACTTAAGCAAAGTTTTGTGAGGGTTATATACCCCTAGAGATCTTGATTTGAAAACTAATTCATTTTCTCTCGGTTTTTCTCTAAATGCCTTAAATATCCTGATTAGATTCCTTTTTACAATGTGTATACCTACTACCAGACTCATGTAAGAAAATTCATAAGTAAAAACTTGCAATGAAAATCCATTATAAACAGACATTACAATATCATAAATCAATTTTATTCAAGTCACATCGACATGATAAAATCATTTTTTTAAAGAAATGTTTTGAAAGGAATGTACAAATGAATATAAACTTATATGCCTATAATTGATAAAAATACAAATGATACACCTGCAGAAATCAGTGGAAGATATGAAATTAGTTAACAAATCACTTAACAAGATAAAACAAAAATATAAAAATTCAAAATCTGAAAATACACAGCACTAAATGTATAAAATGTTAGTCTAGGTGAACAGTTCAAAATTCTAAATTTCTTGTTAAAAACATAGTTACATGTACCTGAAAGACTGTAATTTGAAAAAAAGTGTATGGGCTTCATTAAACTAACCATTTCTATTTTTTAATAGTAAAAAAAAAAGTTCAGGGCTCCCATACCATTTATGGAAATGAGGTCAAAGCCATTAAGAGTAAGAAAAAAAAATGACATTTTGAAATCACAATTTAATTTTAATGTCATATTGGATTTCTGATCTTTGTTACAGTTATAAACTGAATTATTGCAATGCAGAGGAATATAAATAAAGTTCAACTATTATAGCTCCAACTATATTTTTTCCACTTCTTTTTAGCGAGAATGGCTATTACAAACTCAATTTTGAATTCACAAAAGGATATTTTTTTGCTTTTGTATATCATAGGTAATTCAGATCTCTGGTGGTCAAAGCATTTGCAAAAAAAATGATTCTTTTTATTTAGAGTTTCGCTGACCTCTGAAATATTAAGGACCCTTTCGACATACACTAGTGCAAATTTTTGGGGGGGACATTAAGAAAAATATATTGTATACAAGAGTTAATATTGATCTTATTTATTCAATTTTCAATGTATTGTGCGTGGCATTTAGCCCCGGGTAAAATGTTCAGACAACACAGTATCAGTGAATAAAAATCACTGTTAATTACTTCAGTAGAGAAAATACATGTAAATAAATGTTCAGTTAATTTATCTTGGCCTTTTAAAATGTTAAGAATACGTGAATTGATTACAAATTGAGAAATATATATTGTAAATTTCTATTTTTTAGAATTTAGATCTAAGGGCAGATCACTCTAACTGCAGAAAAATACATTAGAATACGAACTCTTTAGTGTGCAGTGTAGAGAGGGTTCTTAAAGTGGCATTTCTCTCATGCAAATAAATATCTACTGTAGGATCATTAGATTTTGTGGTGGCTCAATTTATGGGTACCTTTCATTCTTGATAATTAACATGCAACAAGCTCAACCAATAAATATAATAGGGTTACAAAATTATTTTTCCTGTAGTAGGTAAAAGAGCATACATGAAATTATTTATTATCATGATTATGTCCCCAAGAATATGTAAAAGTTTTTAAAAAATCTCCAAAAAATGATCCACACAATTCTTATGGTTCAACAGTATTACATGTTCATGTATTGCTTAATAAAAATATCATGAAAACAGGACAGCAGGATCTGTCAAAAATTTGGGTATGAAAATATGAAAAAAAAGAACATGGAGAAGATGATCTTTATAAAATGTCCATTTTTAACCATTTACCTTCAAGATTTCAGTTGCACATAAATCCTTTTTTAATGGTAAAAACTCTTATGAAATAAAAAAAATTATTTTTTCACATACATGTATTTAAAACATCTGCCAATGAAATGAGAACATAGGCAATATATTTGGTGGAATGTATTTTAAAGCCTTAGATACAAGTATACAGAGAAACATTCAAATAGGAAATACGTTTATAATGAATTGATTGCTTACAGTGAACTCCATCCCTAGGGAGTACTTCATTATAAGTGTGTTTTACTGTAATGCATTATGACTGAGATCAATACAGGATCTGATAATACTGGATAACAATTAATAGATACGTAATCATAAATAGTAAAAGTTCTACAATATAATACCTATTGACTGCCCCTGCCCCTATACGCACCCCACAGGTCTTTTTCAATTGTCAAAAATAAGGGCCCCCTGTACAGCTGTACAATGATTAATTCAAAATCACCTAAATCCTATTCAAAGGATGCCAAATGTGAAGAAAGTAAAAAAGGACACTTGGTTTTTGAGTATCTAATATGTAATGTATTCTATTTAGAACAAAATAATCACTATGTATTTCTGGAAGATGTGAAAGTGAAAGTTACTTTTGAAATTTGTTCTCCATGTATTTTTAGTTTCTCAGTGGAAAAATAAATCGCAAAGCATAATTCTGATGGATTGTCTTAACTAAAAGAAAAGTAAGGTATTTCAAAAAATTTTAGAATACAAAAGCATCTGCCCCCTTCTTTCTTGCAAGTTTTCTAGGTGTCTGGGGCAGTGAATAGGGATAATATGGTATGTCATTTTTTTCTATTAATACAATCACTAACACTTGTCTAAACCTGGATGAATTAACTGCAAAACAGCAAAGTTCATGGGACTTTATGTAATTTACACATGTTATACATGTATGTTCTTCTTCGGTTTTCTCTTTCGTATATCCATAGGTTTTACAAGGAAAAAATCATTAACAAATAACATGTAAATAAATAAATAGATAACCATAAATATACTTTCCACATATACATGTAGTTAATACCAAAAAGCCTTTAAAAAATATACAGAAACATAAATAGTGGATAAACAAATAAACATATCTTAGTGTTAAAATCAGCAGAAATCATTCCATTCCAATCCATTTCAAGGGATAATAATCGGTCTTGTTATACTGCTTTAACAACCAACTGCCATTGGATGGGAAATTCTTATAATACACTACTTCTCCTCCGGTGAGGTAGGCCCCCCACCAACCAAAACTCCCCGTGGACACGATACTATGGTTACAATGAGCGAGTAGAGCCATATCACCACCTGCACTACCTGTAGTTACGAATTTAATATCATCACCTTTCATATTGCTTTTACACCAAGCCATTTCAGCACTTACAACAAGAAATATCAAGTTTTTAAATTTACTCCGAAAGTATTGGAATGCTTTGTTGAAATACTCCTTCGTGGCGACATTGTAGCCTCTGGAGAGTTCCCGTTTGCTTCCCATGTCACCGCGACGTACATGTACACCCACTGTAATTTTATCACCAATTTTCAGCGAAGCCCGCAGTTGTCGAACTTTATCCACAAATCCCGATTTAAACTTGAAGGATTTCTTCACTTCATCTTTCATGAAATCAAAGTATTTCCAGCTTTGATAAAATCCACCTAATGAATAGTTTTTGTCATGACTTAAATTTTCTAGCGACTTGTCATATACCCCGGCTCCCCTTTCTCCAACACCTTTTAAGTTTGAAGGTTCTGAATCAGTCACCTGAGAAATATCAAAAACCTGCAATAATGTATTTCTACGTAAAATCATGGGTTTATAATTATGACGTTTGGCAGTTCCTAAAAGGGATGCAAATTCAAACATCCGATTTCCTAATCGCCCAACACCTGTACTTATCATGATGTGTGAATTTCGGAAGGCCTCAGTATTCTCCATATTATTGATGATCAAAGATTGCTTTTGAGTGTGTGTGTGTTCTGTTGTAAAGTTTGTATCACCTGGCGGTTCAAATCTATAATTCTCACTTACATCTTCCCTGTTCTGTCTTTCTTTGAAATCAAACATCCTTGAGGAAGTAAAATAATTGAAGCCAACCATGTATACAATAATGGTGATAGCACAAACTGGAAAGAGAAACGTCCAAATCTTCTTCCATATTGGAGTAAGAGACCAGCAGTGCCTAATCCTTTTGCTCATTGCCTTAAAATCCAATGAATTAAGAAATTCATTCAATTCATTTCAATATATAAATCAGCTGAGTTTCCCATGATAAGCAGCATTATTTGGGCATCAGGATCGAAATGGTATTCCTACGAAATTATGCATCCAAATTCTGTGGAATTTTATATTATTCCATTTTTTAAAGACAACTTCACTTTTTCAATTCCACTTCATAAAGATGATCTTAGAAAGTTCTACATAAAAATCTGGAAGGATTTGACATTAGTCTATCTTATTGGTAGTTGCTATTCATGAGTCCATTTGTTGAAGATTTCTGAAAAAGGAAAAGGATAATTGTACATTTAGCTTAATAAAAAATGCATCCATAATGACAATAGTACTTCCACAGTTGAGGTCAAAGATCAGGGCTATCTTCAACTTACATGTCAGTAAAACAATTCTTGCATTACATAAACAAATGTTAATCTAGCTGCAATAATGTAGCCCTCTCCTTTTTTCACTGTCAACAACATAAATTCAAGTTGTGATGTTGACATACATGAAAAAATAACAGATAATTTATATGGATCCTTATGAATATTTTTGGATTAATTTATGCCTTGCAAAACTAAATTTTCAGAGTGCTATTAAGAAATATTAATAAAATAGGCATTTACTTACAATTTGGACATTATTGCAGCTAATGTTTGCACTGCTTCAAAATTGTATTGTTTAATGGACTTTTGGGCTTGAATACTGTTCATCATCTCAATATATTTAACCTACAGGTAAATGTTCATGAAGTGCATGTATATTCATCATGCTTATATTTATCTAATGCAAATGCTTTATGTATACTTGTTATAGTGGACTACATATTGTAGAGTTTTTGGTCCATTAAAGAATACCATAAATTAAGAAATCATTCATAAATACAATACACAACACAGACATGTATAGCCCTAATTCAGGATTATGCCTACAATTCGTATCCTGTAATAGCACTAAATTCTAAATACATGTACATCAATTTATGTACACAATACAATATAAACAAATCTCTATTTGTATTTAATATGTTTAAAAAATATTGATTACATACTTTGTCTTGATTAAATCCAGAGTATTTCACCATTTCTACCCTCATTGATGTTGACACTCTGAAAGAAAATTAATGGAGATTATAGTCAATTGTAATACATATAGTAATTTCAAATGAAAAGAGAAAATTCTGAAAAAAAATTGAACCCTTTCAGCTGATCAATAAAGTCATTAAATATTTATATGCATCTTGTTTTATTGTTGATTTAGCATCATCTGTCATATCTAAAAGTTCTTATTGATTTAAGTCAAATTTTATCAGTAACATTATAAGCCTATATAGATTTCGGATAAAACAAAAACAGTCTTGGCTATAATTTTGCATTTTAATCTACAAAAGCATCAGAAAAAAAAGGATAATCTATGATGTGGTAATGATTTTTTCTACCCAGTGTTATATATTTCAATGAAATCAAACACAGAAAATACAGACAAACAAGTGTCTTAATTGTAACTTTTGTTAGATGAAATATGAAGTCTTCAAACTAAAGATGTATTGACATGATGAAAATATTTGATTTATCATGTTTATACACATACTTTTCCATGAAATTAAATAAAAAGAACCTTATCAAATGATCTAAGAAAGTATTTGATACAAAATGTGTTTTAATTATCAATTCTATATCCATAACAGGAAATAATGATTCATTCCACCTCAGCTACACATATAGGAAATATACAAAAAAAAAATGGCCCCCACAAGAGTTTAGAATTCTTTTAATTGGACAATAATTTGTACATAAAGGTTCTTTATAAGTAATGCATTTAGAATCCACAAAATTCAAATCAAAGTGAATCAAAGCACTTAGTGAAGGAACAATACCTATTTATATTTAACTGTAATGGGAGAGGAGAAAAATGCAGCAGACCAGGATTCAAACCCGGGCCCCCTGAAATTCCAATTAGGTGCTCTACCAACTGAGCCATCCATCCACCGGCAATCGAACCAGGCTGACTAGTGTAATGTAAGGTTCGCAGTTATGATAAGGCTGTCCGAAGGCTTAAAATGCCTTTAATATATATATTTAATTTGAGCTAGATTTATATTTTAATATGTGGCCCTTGTTTGAAATTTCAGTCTACTTGAGATAATAGTTCAATCAGGTATTATTATAAAGGATTTCTGTGATGTCACATGACTGTGTTGATCACGTGACGGACATTTATGTCATTCTTAAATGTTGCACAAAAATCGCTTCGGCACAAGTGCAAAACAAAATTATTGTGCAAAGTTTGTTAGAGAGATCAATTCATCGTGATCTCTGGTACATAAAAAGTGCTGGGGGCAGGTTTACTTTTTACTTCTTAAGAAAATATTTTACAAGAAATTCAACTTACCAATGTACATGATGTAAGAAGGGGTATTTTCCACTCTTTATTGCGATTTATACAAAAATGGATAAACTACATACGATCCCCCGGCAAAATTCAGTTAGAGGACATAATTCTCTTTTAGATTCATGCAGAATATCTTCAATTTATCCTTGTCTTTCACTTGTGCCAGTCCAATATAAACACGATTCATAAATTCTAATTCTGTCCACAGATGTGTACGGGGAGCGTGTCACACATAATTTTTCGCTATTGTTTGAATATGTGCATATTGAACAAGCAAAAGGAAAAGGGATATCTATATTTCAAATGTTCAACATCATAACAGCACATGGAGCATAAAAACAATACCAGCACTTGAATTAAAACAACAACGCCCCTAAAAAATCTACATGCCATGTGTAAAAATTACACTTTCCCCGTCATGTAAGCTCAAGTATGCAGTGTCTTGACGTCATATTCTATTATGACGTCATATCTCGGTAGTTCAGAGAAGTAACTTCAGTTTGAAAAGTTTGATATTTTACGGGCAGCCTTATCCTAGCCGCGTTGTCAAAACTAAGGCAAAGATACATTATCTTCTAATCAGGGGGAAAAGTACTCTTAATTGAACCAGGTATCATGCTTTGCTGCTTTGCAGAGATTAATCATGTTTGTGAAAGACAGGCTCTGATTTACTTATCAAATCATATCAAACATATAGTCAATTTCCATGATGCTATTGCAGGATCCTGGGTTCTCCCTAAGCAGAATATGACTATTGCTCTATATTATCTTACAATCAGGGAAAAAAGTACTCTTAATTGAACCAGGTATCATGCTTTGCTGCTTTGCAGAGATTAATCATGTTTGTGAAAGACAGGCTCTGATTTACTTATCAAATCATATCAAACATATAGTCAATTTCCATGATGCTATTGCAGGATCCTGGGTTCTCCCTAAGCAGAATATGACTATTGCTCTGTCAGAATAAACTTCATGACAGAGAGAGAATGTATAAGGACTACTCACTATAACTACATGTATAAACCTTTGCACTGTTTAGAATTGAAATAGAATTAGACATTTAAAAAGTAGAAGGGGGTTTGACTAAGGTTCATCCCCTAATAGGGAGTTAATATAGAGGACTACCAAATTAACGGTGTGGGGGTGGGGGTGGGGTTGGGGGGGGGGGGGTTACATCATTATAGCTGGGGATGTTATAAGACCTTCCTTGGGTCTTAAGGACAACCCCGTTATTGTATCGGACTTTTTTTATAAACTTAAAAAGGACATTATATGTGTTAACCTCATCTTAGATATCAGTTAAAATTTCATAAGATTGTAAATATAAAAAATGAGACTGTATATTAAATTCAGCTGTACTGAAATTACTTTAGAAACATTTCATATACATGATCCATGCAAAGCATGCTAATAGAATATTACAGAAATGAGCATATACCTAAATCACGTAAATCAATGTAAATATATTAAGGTAATTAAATAGGCATTTGGTATCCTATCTGAATGAACATTACATATGAATAAACAAACAAGTAAGTAAAAAAAGTTATACTAACCTAAAATAAGTCAGAAAAATATGACATTTTTCATGTTCTAAATTCAAATCAACTCTGCTGGACATTTAAACCCTTTGCTTTGAATCTATTATTTAAATCAATTGTATCTCTAAAGTATTGATTTAAATGCTTTCAGAGATTATACTTGTAATGACTTGTTTAGATTAATTATCAAGCTTTATCCTGGTGTTATGAAATATCTTTGATTGGTAAACAATGTAAATCAATCATTACATGTTAGGTAAACATCCAAAGACATACTATAGGAAACTAGTTCTAATTGTAACGGGGACCGTTACAGATGTTCCCCAAACGCTCCCCAAGTTCCTTTTTGTGCCAATTTCCTTTAAAACTTTTTTTAATATGCTCAGTTATCGCAGGATTTTATAAAAGAATTTTTAAAGCTACAATGATATCAACTTCTTGTCATTTAAGGCATTGCACGCAAACGCACGTGCATGCACATGCAAGGTGATCATGGCATGTTGTCTAAACTATTAACATATCTTTATATTCCAAGAATAAAAAAAAAAGTCATAAAAATATCAATGTTACCGTTCTTCAAACACATTGTACACTTTTCGCATTGCGCATGCGCAAATACATGCAAGCACGCCCTTGCATTCAATTTTGACAGTAGTATCATGTAGGAGTCCATTATACCTATTCATATTCTAAATTTCATCCTGTTCTGTTGAGAAACAAGAAAGTTATAGGCATTTAAAGTTTCAGCCAATCAGATTGCAGCACACGTAATATTTACGTGTTTTTATAATTTTTATATATCATGCTCTAAATCTTCATAATGTATGACTATGCTCAAAATTTCAAAGGATTATGACGTTAAACAAGAAAGATATTGAGACTTTAGTTTTAGCCAATCAGAGCGAAGCGCACGTGCATGCGCGTAAGATCTTGCTATTTTGACCATGTCATCTTGTTGATACTACTAATATATCCATGCATTGTGAGTTTCAAAAAATTCCATGAAGAAATAGAAAAGTTAAGGCTTCATCCATTATATTGGTAATTTCACATGTTGCACGTGCGCGCTGTTGCCAGCACACATGCATGTACGTGCTTTTATGAAAATTCTTATATATATCATGCTGTAGATCTTCATAATGTGTGACTAAGTTCAAAATTTCAAATGATTATGACGTAAAACAAGAAAGATATTGAGACTTTAGTTTCAGCCAATCAGAACGAAGTGCACGTGCATGCGCGTGAAATCTTGCTATAAAGATCATGTCATCTTGTTTATACCACTAATATATGCTTACATTATGAGTTTCAAATCATTTCATCAAAAAATAGAAAAGTTACGGCAAAATACGTTATATTGTTCATTTTACGTGTTGCACGTGCCCGCTCTTGCAAGCACGTGCGCGCAAAATGACCTTCGTTCGGCAACTCTACATAACATGCCTACCAACCCTAAAAAGGTTTCACCTAAGTCGGATGTATAGTTTAAAAGATCACTCGTGGACAAAATTTTCCCAGGAAGAAGAAAAATAATAATAATAACTAGATGCGATCTCGTTGCGAGCAACGAGTAGGTCTTCCGTCCGAATTTTCGATAAGATGATGACTTTGACTATGATCTTTGATAAAATATCATGGAATCATGCCTTTTCTCTTTTGATTAAATCATTTTGATTTAGATAATATCAATGCGTACTTAATTTGCACATTAATTCTTTTCTTTTTTCCTACTTTGAGAAACAACCAAAACCAATTAAAGAAGACTTGTAAGGAGACCTTGGATTATAAATGTAGTTTGACTCAGAATTGCAACGAACCTACGACGTGACTATCCAAGTATCCCTACACATTTCATTGCTCCTTATGTTACTTTCGTTTAAGCAAACGCTCGGCTGCCTCTGTTAACCGCTATTGCGAAATGTAGGAATTGACAGAGACCGCCTCCATTTCGTTCCCGCTTCAGATTTTTGAATGTTAATATCTCGAGTTTGAATTTATAAATTTACAAACGAATTATATATTCAACCTAATAAGAAATGTTTCTATCAACTATACAAGTATAATTTGAAAATATTGAAAAACAAAAAAGTTAAAGACGAGAGACTTTTGGCCCCTCTATGCCCCTAATTTGAAGGACTAACCCCGTTTACTTGATATCAAATGAAAGGTCTTACTATATTGCACATTTTTTATTATATATGTCTTAACAAAATATTAACAGGTAAAAAGATATAAAAGAAAACGTGTCAATTTTTGCGAGATGAGTATGAGGCTATTTTTCGATGCCAGGCGAGCGTCGATGCCTTTTTACCTGGAAAGCTCTATATGCAAAATGTCACATCTACTATCCTTCCTCTACCTTCACTGAAAATCTCAAGTCGATATCTTAAGTCGTTTAGGAGGAGATCTCAGGACAAGCCGACCCTCTAAAAATCAGAAAATCATCCATATCTCACGACCGGAAGTGACGACGTACTTACGAAAAATTTCCGACAAGGTTCAGATAAATATCTATCAGGTCTGAAAATTTGGTAAGAATCGGTCCAGCCGTTTCTGAGAAATCGCGTGCACAAAATCGGTAAGAAAAAAAATAATAATAATAATAATAATAGGGAAAAAGAAACCGAACGAAAACAATAAGGTCTTCCGTTGGAGAAGGAAGACCTTAATAAGAAACAGAGTAAAAACAATATGTTCCCCAACTTCGTTTGGGGAACATAATATGTGTATCACAACTTAATACATGTTTGTAAGGTAGATCAGAGATAAAAACATGTATATTTATGCTTGTGGGTATTATTAGCAAGGTTATATATTATTCCATGGAACTGCAGTAGCAAATATAAGGTAAAAAATGTAGAATGCCCCTCATCTTTTCTGCCTTAAAATTAAGGGGGATATAAAATTAAGTGTTCTTTTAGTTGCTTTTATCATTTTTTTAAAAATAATAATTAATAAATATGCATACATGAACATATTAAAATATTCATTTTGACCTTACACCCTGACCTCAGAGTTCCCCACTGGGGGCCAGTATGCTTACTACACCAGTCCTAGCAGTCATACTATTCCCCTGGCATGCTGTATGGTGTTCACAATTTGACCATTATTTTCTTTGCACAGGTGTATACCTACATGTATACCTTTGTACATCTTCTTATGCTTAGTGTATATTTTACATTGGGGGAACAATAAGTGAGGGGAATCCCTACCATCCTAATAGATTCAAAATGTGGTAAGCTTCCAGAAAATGAGGAACAATAGGGGAGGTGTTTTATACACTGAATTGGCGAGAGATTTTTCCGTTATTTCATGATCATGACAGGAAGCACACACTGGTTGTGTCACTTGTGTGTCAAAAAGTTCTTTTAAAAAATCCTTTGTTTCAAAGACAAAGCAAAAAAAAAATTGTATAATCATATTTTATAATTGTAGAGGGGTAAACAAGCATAATTAATTTATCATTATACATGTAACGCCAACCTTACAGTAACTTGTTTCAAAGAACCAAATCAAAACTCACATCTTGTGACAATTAGCAATGATCATCAGATCAATGATAATAAAATTTAGAGAGAGAAAATGATATTAATACTTAAAACTGTTCTAAACAAACATTCTAAATTAGGTGCCTCTATGTGCATTGCTGATTTGACCCCCCCCCCCCCCCACCCAGGGTTTTAACCATAAAACCATTGGGGTCTCTTGCATGTTTGTACAACCTAGCCCCTGACCTACAAGTAATAGTAAAATACCCCCCTTCTTCCTTTTTAAAAATCCTAGATCCGCCACTGAACTGTGACCTTATATCATGCACTGTAAAGTTACTCCGTCGGTTTTTTATATTCGCTCGCTACGCTCGCGAAGCTCACTGGTAGGATTTATGCCTGTTTACCATTTATTTTCTATTTACTGATAAAATTGCCGACTCCTGTGCTAAGTTGTACAGAATTTGAATTTCAAATGGACACGTATTTTAAATGGACAAAGGCCTCACAGTCATCTGCGACTATTTTAGCTAATATGCATGCATAACGTTACAATAAGAAATTAATCTGTTAGCATTGCATCCGTGTATTGCAGGATACACATTGCGAAATCAATCTGTGCTGGACCTCTCGTATACATTTGAAGTGAAATGGAAAACGAAACTAAATAAAGCATGAGTATGAACAAAAAAAGTACTTCCATATCGTCTTACAATCCTCAAAAACATTCTACAAAATATACCTACCGTATAAAATGATCACTTTTAGGCTAAATAATACTCGTTCGTCTGTTACGTTTGTGTACGTCGCCATTTTGAAACGGTGTCAACTGAAATCGTTACTTCGGTTATTTTTAAACCTAACAGGTTTGGCGAAATTACATATGGCTCGAAAAAGGAGATTTAAAAACATTGGAAAATTTTCATTTTTTTTTAATTAAAAGATTTTTTGTTGTTATTCAGTTGAAAATGGTCTGATAACTTACAAAGGTATTTTTTATAGGCAATTAACGTTATACCCCCCCCCCCCAAAAAAAAAAAATCAAAGTAATGTTCTTTTAATAAAGTCACGAGAAAATTCGAGAACGTACAAAATCAATATAATATTAAAAAAAAAAAACATGTTATAAAATTAATCAATATTATATCGTTTTAGGATGTACTCCTCGTGCTTTTGTCAATAAATATTTTGTGCATGGCTTAAAGATGCACTTTTATAACTGAACGAGAGGGGAAAAGAATCATTGTGTATATCAGTGACTTATTAGTTTATTGGTCCCTGTATATTTACATCAATACATGTACATGTATATGTATTTATACCACAAGCACCTGGCGTTACTCATTCATTTTTAATAGAAAAATATACCCCCTACCTTTTATTAGGTAGGGAGTACATATATTTTTTTTAGAAAAGATATTAAATTAAGTAACGTTAGATGCCTATGATTTATACATGTATGTTTACACCCAGGATTTACTTAACAACTGTGTGAAATAATTGTACTGATATTTTTATTTGAATAAAATATCGATTTAATCTTCAAGAGGCTGAAATTGTTAGACATGTACAGTATGTACCTGTACTCTTAATATTAAATTATCAAACAAATTCTGGAGAAGCCCAGGTTGGGTCCTTTCTAAAATGGGAATGTATACACTGTATAGATGAGAGGATCTTTCTGGATATCGCTTTATAAGGAGAAAGCAACATTTAATTTTTATTATAAAAAAATCTTTATTTCATTACAAAGAAACAAGGGATCAACTCCTTTTCAATATCCCAGTGACTGACATGTACTGGTGACATCCTCCCCGTTAGACGTGAAAATGGCCACACAGCCGTTACACACCTCTCTGGAAGATAAAATTGTTTACAAGTAAATTATATTTCAAAGTCATGTGTTGCTGTTTTTAAAATAATTAGTATTTTGCTCCAGGACTTTGCAATTTTTAACAGTATATTGTGATTTATAAGTACATCAGGAGGACAATATGTTCAAAGACCCCAGGGGGACTGTTATATGAATATCACAAACATTAACCGATATCATAAAATTAATGGAATATATCATGCAGCAAGTTTGATTCATCCATCGGCGTCGGAAGCAAATTAATATTGAAAAAGGAAGGGGGAAGGTGGTTGGACAAATGAAACGAACCCGAAAAAATAAATTGACAAGCGAAAAAAGGTGAAAAAATTATTTCTTGGTGGGGGTGGGGTCAATATATATAATTTTTTTTCAAACGCCACCACCACTTACCCTTTTTGATTACATTGCACTTACAGGGGCCGGTAACATAATTATACTATATTTGATTTTACCTAAACACTTTGTATACAAATATAGATAAAATCTATACCACTCTGTGATTGCACTGTGTCTGTTAACAGTGGGGAGGGGGAAGGGGGCTTAACCTTCGTCTCAGTATCAATGTAAATGCCTATATAATGTTTATCATTAAAAAAATAAGAGGGGATGAGCCCCCTCCTTCTGGTTCCGACGCTATCTCCTCATAGCTTCATTTCTATTTAATGACTTTCTAATACTTAATGACTTAATACTTTATATTTTATGCAGGTTATTGTTACCTACATGTACCTATGCTTGATAATTGAAATAAATACTTACTTGCAAGAGGCACTTGGATAATTTGGACATGACGTCACTTGGCAAGCAGGTGCTTTACAAAATATGTTCGATTTGCCATTTGGGCAGCCTTTAACAGGATATGATAAACAAAAGAAAGGAAAGAGAATATAATTATGGATTTCAACTGTTTAGGTACACTTTTAACAGTCAATAAATGTAACATTTTAGCAATATAGAAAAATTGGAAAAAATCATCAATACATGTATGTAAGTTATACTGTAGTCCTGCCAATGTAGACTGATATTATACATGTACATGTACCTTAGTTGACTTAATACCATTGTTTATATTTTGCCGTTGTGGACATTATACAGTTACTGTTATTAATATTAAAGATCGTTATTGACATTATATCTTTGTTGAGTATTCAGTCTCACATTATACCGTTGTAGACATTATATTTTTGTCGACTATATACCATTGGTGCACGAGTTCAGACATCCCTGTTCCGTTCGGAAGTTGTTTGCGTTCCCACCACAGCAGCCATAATAAAACTCCTCGCACCTGTGCGTGTGGGAGTTGTAAAACCAGCGAGGGCATAATCCGTCACACATACCCACGTCCTTTGGAAGGTGACATACCGATGCTGCAAACATATGTTTAGAAAGCTTAAAAAACCTCGCTATTTATACTTATTCTGTTATCGATATCTCAATGTCCCCTCCAAATATAACCCCCCTCCAATCAAGAATGCAACCTGGCACGAATCTGAAAAGAAGAGGTTGAACCTGAAAAGAAGAGATTGAAGCAGTTTATATTTATGAACATATGTGCGCTAAAAAGGGTAGGGGATAAGGTTACATATACAGATTTTGTATTTTACAAAGACTGGCACTGAAGAGGACTGGATAGTGTTGTGGGCTTTTAGATTTTATGAATACTTAAAAGGATCTGGGTGGTACCCAGAAATTGGGTATCTTCATGTTTATTTCTACATGATGTTTAAATTAATGTATGTAATTTACTCACAAAATGCGGATTTCACCAAAATACAGAAATAAAACAAGAGAAAAACCTGCAATGAAAGAGAAACATTATCAGCAAACCATCCATGTAGATTTAAATTAATAAAGAACTATATGCAGTATACTGCATATCTTTGCCCCTCCCCCCCTCCCAAAAAAGTCAAATTTTGAACATATGACGTCATTGCATATGAAAATATCTACGATTTTTAAGGAATAATTTTTGAAAAAGTGCACTCTTTGGCACTTTCTTTGCACCTTTAAAGATTTTTTTAATGCCAAAAATCATTTTTTCATGGATGCAAAATCGTTACTGGTTTTCTGGAGAGGAGATGCGGAGAGGATTAGGTAGGGTATACTTTCCATATAATGTTATTATTTTAATGGATACCATTTGATAGGTTCTGACACATTCATGAAGTCATACATTCTCCTTTCCAAACACATTTTAAAGATAAACAAGATCCAGCAAAAATCCTTTAAAAAAGACTTAAAAGTAACATTGTGTGGTTCAAAAAAATTTTCAATGATTGAAAAAAAGGGGGGGGGGGGTGGAGTGATCGCACCTATCAGCCAGCCATCTCTACGGCCTAAATGTATGAAGGGCCCTTAAAACTTGTAGAAAAAATCTATATTTATGTCTTATTTGATATAAAGTGGTCGATGACAGATCAATGTCCTTAATATGACACAAATATTGTTCTTGTTTAAAGATAAAGGCGGTCAAAAACAAGAACAAAAATAATCAGGAACACTGAGTCTAAGATAAAAGTAAAACAAACCTTCATGATAATATGTGCATGAAACTTCATCTCCAGCTGTTCATAGGTTTTTTTGTTAAGGCCAACTTAAAAAAAAAAACTGTTGGTTTGCCGTCTCCCAACCGACTCACTGAAAATGGCTGGACTTGAAACTCTTTTTAATCTCCAGGAAACATTTTATTTTTTCAAAATTTATTAAAAAGCTTTCTTATTCCTTTATTAAGTTTATTTAAATTTTTTAAAGTCTCTTTGAAAAAAACAATTATCTATACTACCTACATATCTATTTTTCTAATCCTTATTCTGGATAAGGACAAGCGAACATTTTTTAACTATTGCCTAATCACCAGTGCCGCGTGTACTTTTGTCGCGATAGACATGATATGACAAATTATTAGGATATTATTTTATCACGTTTGAAAAGACAGGTGCGTATCTCCAATCATTTGATTAAAATCTCATCTCGTTCTTTAGATTATCGTTTTTATACATCTTTTAACTTTCACAGGATAATCAAGATATACGAACATGTCCATCTTTAAGATTCAGTGTCTTTACAATATTAACGAACAAAAAACTTTTTTGTGAGTAATATATAGGAAACAAATTTATTTTAAAATATATGCAATATAGGCCTATACAATTATAACCGTGATTTAAAAAAAATGAATTTTAATGTCAACTTTAGCAAAACAGTCCTATATTTAAACAGCCATATGCTACTAACCAACGAATACGTGCTCTCATATTAAATCGGACATGTTCATGTACAATTTCTGCTTCATTTAACAACGCTTTTATACGAGAGGAAAAGTTCTTTCTAAAAAAATCAGCTTTCAGTGTAAATCTCCCGTTAAAAAATGAACTAAAAAAGTAATAGCAAGATTGTTTGCGATTTTTTTCTGGGTTTCCAAGATTTAACAGGATGAAAGGACAATATAATTACCGGTAGCAGCACTAGGGAATCAATCAAAACAGAGGGTGGGGGTACCGTTTGTTTGTAGTTTATCGTACCTCTCCAGAATTTTTCAATCATATATAGAGAGGTCATATATGGTGGCATATTTCTGCCCCTTGTGTGCAAGTTATTTTTCTATCAAATATGTCGACATGCAAGATATATATGTCGATATGCAAGATAGTTATGTCAACATGCAACATAACTAAGTTGACATGCAAGAAAACTGTAATCAAATAAATATTTTAAAAAATCTTCAAAAATCTCAAATATTGCCCACATGTGACATCAAACATGCTAGATGTTACTTATTTATGTTAACATGCAAGATAAATATGTTGACATGCAACTTATTTATGTTGACATGCAACTTATTTATGTTGACATGCAACTTAGTTATGTTGACATGCAACTTAGTTATGTCGACATGCAAGATAAATATGTCGACATGCAACTTATTTATGTTGACATGCAACTTATTTATGTTTACAGGCAAGATGAATATGTTGACATGCAACTTATCTATGTAAACATGCGACTTATTTATGTCGACATGCAACTTATAAGTTGCATGTCAACATATTTATCTCGCATGTCAACATAACTAAGTTGCATGTCAACATAAATAAGTTGCATGTCAACATAAGTAAGTTGCATGTCGACATAAGTAAGTTGCATGTCGACATAAGTAAGTTGCATGTCGACATAAGTAAGTTGCATGTCGACATAACTAAGTTGCATGTCGACATAACTAAGTTGCATGTCAACATATTTATCTTGCATGTTAACATAAATAAGTAGCATCTAGCATGTTTGATGTCACATGTGGGCAATATTTGAGATTTTTGAAGATTTTTTATAATTCTTATTTGATTGCAATTTTCTTGCATGTCAACATATTTATGTTGCATGTTGACATAACTATCTTGCATGTCGACATATTTATCTAACATGTCGACATGTTTGATAGAAAAATAACTTGCACACAAGGGGCAGAAATATGCCACCATAGTCATAATCAACCCAAGTCAAAATTCAACGTTACACCGGTGCATGGAAGGCTGTAATGGAAATGTTATACCTACACTAGGCACTGAGGCGCATTGATCACTGAGACACTGGATCCCGGTTTACAAGGTCTCGCCCCAAGAACCGATCTCATCCTACCGCAGTTGACTCGAGCCGCTACTGGAGTCGGGAGGGGGTAACTTTACGGGGGTCAAGAGGCAATTCGGGTGGGGCTAGTTCTTAAGGCGATTTTTGCTTTTATTATACATGTACATGTATATGGCTTGCAGTAATTTTTTTCTCATCTTAACAAAATCTGTAATTTACTTCAATTTAAAACAGAAATGTTTTATTCATATGCATATAAAATTTAATGACAATATGACTTCAATATTATTATCATTATTGTAATGTACTCTTCCGCATAAATAATGTAATTTTTCACACTAATTAAGAAAAAGGAAAGGGAAATTCGATCCTAGTTTTATAGTTAGATAAATATTATTCATCTGAAAAGGGAAATTAATGTGGATTTGTCTTTTTTTTTTTTCATTTCCTTTATCCTTTTAAAGTTACTATATGAGAAACAAAGCCTTACATGTATATATAGGGTCTTATCTAAATGAGGAAATATTGTCGCCGGTTAAAATTTTGCTGTGAAATTTGAAAATATAGTTTCATTTTTTCTTTCAGAATAATGATTTATATAAGGTATCTGATTATACATTATGATAGATGTATGTACTCGTACATGTATCTTACTTTTTTTCATTTGTTCCACCCAAGTCACTATGTATTGACGGAAGTCTGGAGAGGTTAAAATTTGCATTAATTAACATCTAGTAACCTTCTTATATAAACATTTTCTTCAGATTTACAATTCGTCTTTTTATTTAAACGATCAATTCTAATTGTTAGTAGACTTTTTTTTCTCAAAGTAGAAATGAAGAATATATGAGTGTAAGGAATTGATCAAAACAGTATTCAAGCTCAAAAGTCCTTTAGAATAATAAAGATCAGGAACTTAGCAAACACGGACTTCTAAAACTTAAAAAGGTTGGATCAGTTGGATCAGGTGGAAGAGTGAGCAACCATTGCCGACCGGCTGATCCCACGTACCTCTGTCCTCTGGTATAGAGGTCTGTGTTTGCTGTGCTTAGGAGTCATGATTGGGAAATAAGGAAAAAATATCAAACAATGTAAGGTAAAACATCTGTCAGCATTTAACTTGAGAATAAAGAAGATCAATACTAGTATCTAACAAGTTAAAGACATGTCTCCTGCTAAGGTTTCATTTCAGAGAGAGCTTGTTCAGAAGAAGGATGGTAATACACAAATTAATCTCCGTAAGTAAATCCGAGAAAGAAATAAATGATATCAATGTGCTTACGTCAAATGTGCATTTCAAGGTTTGATACCATTGATTGCGTTTTAGCACATCTGTAGACACAAATAGTATTGTGTTTAAGCGTTTAAATATTATAGTCTTAAAAAAATAATACAAAAGAAAACTGCATGAAGGTTCACTTATATGTTTCTTTATTGCCTCATATTATGCCCACACTTTTATTTGATAAATAATATCACCAAGCTCAATCTTTTCCGGATTTTTGAAGTTTCTTCTACTCAGGCTTCGGCTTTGGAACCATCAACTTCTCTCTGCGACTCACATGTTTCCTCCTTCGCCTCACGTTAACGTTCCGTCTGCGACTCACGTTCCGTCTACGACTCACGTTCCGTCTACGATTTACAGATTTCCGCCGCCTGACGATAAGCACCGGTCGTCGTCGGCGTTTGGGAGGCACGGGAATCCGTCTGTGACATTGGCGTGTGACGTCCCTCCCAAATAAGATGAACTGAGAGAAACAGCCATTGCATCTCGGTCTAAAAACAGGTATTGACATCTTCTTGATTTGTAAATTAGAAATAAATATTAATTTTTGATACGTTAATTTTGTAATGCAACTTAAAATGAAATAGATTCATTGATCTAATCAAAAACAAGTCGAAACACGAACACCTGGAAACACCTGGAAACCTGGGATTAGGTGCCTATGAGGATTAAGCATTCCATGTGAGCAGCAATGCAGATTTATAAAAAAAAATGATGAAATGTCCCTAAGTCTCCCATCACTCTACCTAAAACTCCTGTATCGGATGTATCCTTATAATTAAACATAGAATAATTTTGCTAACTTAAAAAAAATGTTAACTGTTATGAAAATATTTTTTTGTCCTCTTCTACTGTGTTTTTGGGGAGATATGTTTTTCAGGTGAATGCAAAATATAATTATAATTCTAAAAAGTTAAATTTGTATATAGGAAAAACAACAGTCCATATTAAAATTTAAAGAGAATGAAAATAATAATTATTTGATCTTTTGATATTTTTTGTCGAAAAAAGATCCAGACCTTTAAAAATGGTACAAAATATATACATACACACAAATTGCCCATGGATAGCGTCGACAGGATTGAATGGTGCAAGCTCCCACAATGCATCGCACTTTATCTGGATTTGTTCCATTTGGACAACCTGAAAATAAGAATTATTTTATTTCAGCATACCTAAATGACATTGCACTGGGAAAAAAATCTGTTATATGTTAAATGAAGAAAGAAACTATAGTAAAATCTTTGACATGGGTGTTGTAGAGATAATTTAAAATTAAACGAAAAGAATATGTGAACAATTTTGAATTCACTCTAATGAGGAGGAGCCTATTGTGAAAACCTTTAAAATAAAAGTTGGAAATATATTTTCGAAAACATATTCCCAACTTATTTTAAAGGTCTTCAATCGATCCACGCTTGTTGGCGACTTTCTGTACATATATCATGTATATAGACATAAACCTAAAGAGACCTACCATCATTACAAGAATCCAGACAACTCCTTAGAGACCTGTGGTTATTTCCGTTTCCGCCACACCCGCCGTATATAAACCTCCGACACCTGTAGTCTGACGGATTGTAGTACCATCTCCGGAAGGAACCTTTACAGGGACCCGGATCTTTGGCTTCTGTACAGGAAGTTCCTACAAGGGAAGTAAGACACGTGTAAGAAACAATCACTCACCAGAGGGCGCAATATAAAAAAGAAGGAAACATCGGAAACTTCTGGAACGCTTTCTGGTGAAAGAATTGCGAAAAACTTTATTCTAACAGACTGAGTAAAAAATTCACTTAACCATGCATTATAAATGCAAAAGGTTCAATGTCTCGGTAGTTGTTTCTGATTGGCCTATATTTCATTTGCGGTCATCAGAGGCTTTACGATATTCTTACCTAATGTTAAACTTTTGAATATTACCAACAGAAATTCTTTAAATCCGTTTATATTTTGATTTAAAAACGGCCTACATATAACGATTTTTTCAAGCTTTAATCATATTTTTTTAATTCACAAATTTAAGCAATATACCATATCAGCTAAATACATCATTAGAAATTGATAGGATTTTAATTGAATTTCTAATTTTGTTCTTCTTTTGCTTCTGTTGTTTGTACAAGGCAGTGACTTTAATTTGAGCCGTTAAGAATTTTTCTGTTTGCTGTTTTTTTTTTATATAAATAGTTTAACCAGCTATAATTGCGTTATAAAAATTTGAGAGAAAATTTTTACCGTGAAGAAACGTCCCAAAGCGTCCATGTACCACGACAAGAACCTACAGTATAAAACGAAAATAATTCAAAGCATGAGAGAGAAACGTGAAGAACAATATGTGTTTGTGAAACACGGATGCCCTTGTATGGGATCATAGGGAAGATTAAACTTTTCTTAAATGCAAATTAAATATATACTAGTATTTCCCAAAGTAAGGTCTTCTTACTGGAAATGCAATTACTGGAAATACAATTGTGGAATGTGAAAGCCCTAGCACTACCTGTTCAAAGTTATAATCAATGATAAGATTTTGAAAGGTTGGTCAATCTCTGAGGTCAACGGGTCAAAGTTGTTGGTTTCTAAAGAAAGGTCTAAGTCACAAGGTTTACATGTATTAAGTATGAAAACCCTAGCCACAACCGTTCGAAAGTTATCGTTAAGGTTAAAACTTTTAAAAAGTTGTTTAAAATCTGACATCAAGGTCAAAGTTCTTAATTCAAATTAAAGTTTTCATCACAGGAATTTAATATGTAAAGTATAAAACCCTAGCCCAAATCCTCATAAGATATGGAGAAGTTTGTTTTCTTAAAGTAGGTCAAAATCCAAGGTCAAGCTCAAAGGTTCAAAGTTGTTGGTATCCAATGAAGGGTCTTTTTATCTACTCACAAGGATTAGATATTTGGAGTATGAAAGCCCTAGCCCTAAACATTCAAAAGTTATGGCCAAAGTAAAAGTTTGGAACTTTTGTGTAAAAGTGGGTCAAGGCCAAAAGGTCTAATTTGGTGGTAACCCCAAAAAAGGTTTTGTCTTTTTTGTCTTGAGAAATAGGAATGTCATAGCACCACTAAATCGAAAGATAGGGACAAAGTTAAAGTTTTTGCGGACAAACAAACAAATGGACACTACAAAAACTATATACCACCAAATCTTTGATTACAGGGGAATATAGAAAACCCTATGGCTAGAAGAAAATTTCTATGTGTCATGAAGCTTGGTAAAAGGATCCTATGAAACGTTTGTAATAAATATCATTATCAGGTACCAAAATGAAAAAGAGACTTCCTTACAGACAGCAATGAAAATGCCCTCAGAAACATCGTGTATATTTCCTTCCAAATAAATACGAATGGGCTGGCAATACATATAAACCCTTATATCGGGATAATGGATCAACATTAAAAAGAAATTCTCTTACAACTGAACGCATATAACATGTGTTTTGTGTTAGTTCACAATATGTAACAGCGCTTTAACAGTATGTAATATGCTTTTGGTTGAATAACTGAGTGCTTTAATTCTCCATCTGTGGCCAATATCCACTTGCACTGCTATGCTATATACATGTATAACATTTAGACCATGCTACCGAAAATGCCAAATAGCATCCCTGTTCTTATTTTCCTTTTATTCTATGCCAACATGCTTAATTTGGAATGGAAAAAGGTTGAAGATATTCAAGATAACAAACAGATGTCGATCCCATAATTAGAATAACAAATAATACAATACTGTAAACAGGGCATACGCACGAACCCCCGGAGATTTCAGAGGTGAAATTAGGTACCCCGGAGGAGAAAAAAATCTCCTGTTGACGTCACATCCGCCGTGAGCTCTAGGTATTGAACACGTAGACATGACATCTCGAAGTCAAATTTAGTATTTATAAAAAGAAATTGGTATGAAACAAGTCGGCCATTGTAAAGTTTGAATGTCGAGTTGAAGGTCACTGCAAGTGTTTTCTTCTTTTCAAGTAGACGTTTCTGAAAAAAAAAAACAAAAACAAACAGGTCATTTAGATAATAAGGAGCAGAATTATTTCTAATCAGGATTCCAAAGAAAGCAGTTGTCTATGATATCAAACAGCCTTGTTTTTACTTTACGGAGAGGAAGGATTGTATACAGTGTAGAAAAGTCGTATTCCTAGCTGAGATCATTTATTATGGAAAAAAATATTTGTTTAGTTCATATGCATGTTAACATCAAGGTGAACTTAAGGGTTTCTTTTTTTATATGGAACTTAAAATGGATTCAATGTACTTCCAATTAATAAAAATTGTTCTTGAAACGAATAATACGTGTTTGCGACTTTGCAGATGAATCTAACATTCAGGCACATAGGTTGGGATCGGGATGACAAAAGTCTGTTTCCTTACAACACTATTTTCTAAAGTGTAAATTGTACTGCTAAAACTATAAGTATGTTAATTGATAGGCTGGATACACTACTCCCTGTCAAAGGATCCTTACATTTCCCCGGGGTAAAAAATCTAGAGATTGGAAATTTTCCCACTTTCTTGGGGACTGACCCCTTTTTTAGGTAAGTTGTTGAGTTTTTTTTTCTTTCGATCCCCTCCTTTTCTCAAAATCAATTCCGACATTTTTTTCATTCTACATCCAAACTATCATCAAGTTAAAGAAAAAATTTCCAAATATAGTAATACATATGTCTATTTTAAGTCCATTTTATTCTCTGCGTCTACCTAGTAGGCTACTCCAACAAATATAAAACAAGTAAACGACATAAATTGCTTAACAACTTTGTATCGTTTATTAATTGAGTGAAATAATAAAACAATAATCGCTATTTTTTCACTCAGTGCGATGATTTAGCCACTTCCAAAAAAGAATATTTACTTGCCATTTGGACCATATTACCTAAATTAAATATAATATTATAGCCCCCTCCCCCTACCTCGAAAGTAAATCATCAATTGGGCATCAAAACATTATCGTACTAGTTTTCAGATTTATTGATAAATATGAAGGACTGTCTTTCACTGGAGAGGGTAAGGCCATTCAGGTAGGCCTAAGTTATGTTAAATAATGATTAAAAATGTAAGTAATACTAATATCGATTTTTTTATCCCTCTCTCTCGAAAACAAATAAATTAAAAAAGAAAAAAGTGAAACTCTGTTTTATATGATATAATACGCATATTGTTTTGGACACAGCACAATAAAATATATATCTCTTGGCTCTGAAAAAAGTACATATATATACATGTAGCAAGATTTAAAGTGCTTTATAGTACGAGTATCATATTAGCTTGGATTTTTTCTCGTAAGTTAGACCAAAAAAACATAATCAGTTCGATTTGGTTTTCATTGTATATTAGACTTGACACGATTGTTTCATTTTGCTACTTGCTTTTTCAAAGACCAAAATTATAAAGATTAAGGTGATTAAACTACAGTGTATGAACTTTACAGGTTAAAGTGCACTTTTTACAGATTAAAGTATAAATTTTACAGATTAATGTGTAAACTTTACAGATTAATCTGTAAAATTACTTATTGTGTAACATTTTCAGTTTCAGTGTGGTTTTCAAATGAAAAAGTAAATAAAAAATGTGTAAGTAGCGCTAACACGCTCCCGTAGTTTAAATATAATTTTGATGATTAATAAGCATCCTAGTTAGTATCTGATTTTCATTTGTATATTCAACCTGTTGCACACTGTCTGAATTCTCGAATCCTGTTTCGGTTTTGATATTGATAATTTATTAATGTAAACATTGTTTGTTTTAACTTTAGGTATCCTATTTAATTTGACATTGATGATGTTTTCCTACTTAGGTTAAAATGTGTTGATTTCTCCGATTATGTGTCTAATGCTTTGATATATGATTATATTCTCTCTCTCTCTCTCTTTCTCTCTCTCTCTCATAATGCAATATTTTGTTATAGAACCAGTTCCTTTTCTTTAGTCATTTACCACATTTGTCTTTGTCGAAAGCATCTAGAGTATTTGTATCGAAGAATATTGAGCAAAGTAAAGATATATTGACCAAGATTAGTGAAACATATGAATAGAACAAAAGCAGATTTGCAACGAGATATGGTTGCATCCTATGTATTTTACGTAAGAAATAAAAATCAATTAAAATTTCCTTCTGAGATATACTTACAGAATCTTTATTTATTTATCTAATTTTATTTTTTAAACAAAATTAACTTTATACAGATCATTCTTAATCTTTGTGACATAATTGTGTATTTTTACACACACAGAGAGAGAGAGAGAGAGAGAGAGAGAGAGAGAGAGAGAGAGAGAGAGAGAGAGAGAGAGAGAGAATTACAAAAGAAGTTGGTTCCACTTGTTCCACTGAGTGTCAAATATTTCTTTTTCATAATAATATTTTATCCATAATATTATGATATTCGCTACTTCCATTTCTTACAGAATCTTTAATTAAAATCTCCTTTAAGTTTTTATTGTGTGTTTGTTCCTTGCTTTTAATCCCACTTGTTTTCGTTATTAGGTGATTAACGTTTAAAACTCCGCTTTCATTACAAAGGAGTGATAACTACATAGATATAAAATTGTTTTTTTTTTAATTGAAACTTGCATATTTCAAATTTCGCACCGTTTTCCCATGTGCGCTAAATAGCCTTTGTTATTACATTGGTCTGTGACGTCCTCTCCGTCATAAATCCAAATCGACTCACACGGACACACAGCTCTGAAAAATTGTATCTGTTAATCAAATATAACCAAATGGCAGAGGTTATTAAGAACATGCATGTTTTTAAGGTATTCAAAAAATACCATTGAAAAAAAATTAGATCATCATAGATCTTAAACTTATGTGATTACCGAGAAATACTGAAAGAACTTTAGCAACATTTAGCTTTTCCTAATAAAATTCACCTGGCTCGGTATATTTTTCTTAAGTTTATATCACATTTTTAGGATCATGTTAACATATTCTGAAATTTGTAATCACATGTAAACCTTTACTGAATATAATTTGTCTATATTTGTATTTTTCATTGAAATATTACTAATATTTTCCAAGTCTTTTTCATATTCCGGTTCTTAGAAGAAAAATTTCTAATAACCATCCACTTTTCTAAACTTGTGACATGATATTAAATCTTTTTCAAAGAAAAAAATGTTTGTATCATCTGTCCTTAATTGATTGGCTGGATAGACTACTCCCTGTCAAAGGATCCTTACATTCCCACGGGGTAAAAAATCTAGAGATTAGAAATTTTTCCACTTTCTTTGGGGTCTGAACTCTTTTTTAGGAAAGTTGTTGATTTTTTTCTTTCAATCCCCTCCCCTTCTCAAAATCAATTCCGAAATTTATTTACTCTACATCCCGACTGTCATAAAGCTAAAGAAAAAAAATCCAAATACAGTAGTACATCTATCTATTTTAAGTCCATTTTATTCTCTGCGTTTACCTAGTACTTCAGCAAATATAAAACAAGTAAACGACATAAAATGTTTTACAACTTTGTATCATTTATCAATTGATTCAAATATTAAAACAATAATTGCAATTTTTTTTACTCAGTGCAATGATCTAGCCACTTCCAAAAAAAAAGCATATTTACTTGCCATTTGGACTATATTACCTAAATTAAATTTAATATTATAGCCCTCCGTAGCAAATCATCAATTGGACATCAAAACATTATTGTACTAGTTTTCAGATTTATCGATTAATAATTTAATTTTGTTTGTATTCTAGTCTCTCATTGGTTGATTTCCAAAAAGGAACAAAATATTTCTCAATAACCTGGTTTGGTATGGGAACACACCCCCTTGACAACCAGCTGAATCATCTGTATCCATGCAATCCCCTCATTTCCAGTCCTTGGGATACATAGAAAATTCCAAATTTAATAAATGTACCTTTAACTTCAAAAACATTATCTCGATCTTACCTCGAGTAAAGAAGCATCATGGCTGCTAGATCCGAGTTTCAGTTATTACCTCCCCTTGTTTCATATCACTTCCGTTACCAGGGATGTGTTATTGAGCGGCAAATTTGAACTCATAAAAAGCAGCACAATTTTACACCCACAGTTGTTCAATTATTTTAAAATTAAATTATAAGGAATGGCTCTAATTCTTGGCCAAATTAATCGATTATAACCTGGTTTGGGTCAGTTTACGCTTTTTTTTAAACTGACCCAAACCAGGTTATAATCGAATAATTTGGCCAAGAATTAGAGTCATTCCTTAAATATGTATGGACTTTTACTGTCTTTCACTTGAGCGGATAAGGCCATTCAGGTAAGTTATGTTAAATAATGATTACAAGTGTAAGTGATACTAATATCGATTTTTTATCTCTCGCTCTCGAAAACAAGAACACAAAGAAATTAAAAGAGAAAAAGTGAGACACTCTTTTATATAATATAATACACAAATATTGTTTTGGACAAAGTACAATGAAATATATATCTCTTGGCTCTGAATGAAATACATATACATGAAGCAAGATTTAAAGTGCTTTATAGGACGAGTATCATATTAGCTTGGAATTTTTCTCGTAAATTAGACCAAAAAGACATAATCAGTTCGATTTGGTTTCTATTTTATTTTAGGCTTTAGGCTTTATTTTAGACGATTGTTTCATTTTGCTAATTGCTTTTTCATAGCCCATAAACCCATTCTCTCTCTCTTTTTTTCGCCTTTATTCCTTCAAATTATCACAAATCACATATATTCATTGGTGATATAATGATGCATTTATTCTTTAAGCTAAATTATGTAGAAAATACGGTATTTCCATGACATTTAATTTGAAATCATATGAAAAGTAAACCGGATACCTATATTAAATTTGATATTGATTTGAAAAAGAGGCCATGAACGTACTAATTACCGTTTTCTGAGAGACTGTAGGCAAACCTGTTGACCGTTCACACTTATTTCGTGCTCGTCATGATATTGTCACACATGTTTTGAAAGATGCAGATTGTCACACATGTTTTGAAAGACGCAGATTGTCACACATGTTTTGAAAGATACAGATTGTCACACATGTTTTGAAAGACGCAGATTGTCACACATGTTTTGAAAGACGCAGATTGTCACACATGTTTTGAAGGACGCAGATAGCAAAGATCTTATTTTTACGTAATATTCTACCTTTCGCCATTTCAACATCAACAGTGCAACGTCATCAATTTATGTGTCATCAGTTTAAATAGAAATCATTCATATAGTTTCAAAAGGGTTATCTCAAATTTAAAAAAAAAACATTAGACAAAAATCGCATCATATAAATTAAACATCTACATGTATAACTGTGTGATTTGATATTGACTTATCCAACTCGTTAAAATGGTGTATATTCACTCGGCAATCCTTGCGAATATACTCCATTACAACTCCTTGGATAAAGCCAATATCAAATCACCCAATACAGATATCCTTTAAATATCTTTACATTTAATATCCCGTAAGTAATTTAATATCCACCTTTATTGTTAAAAACGACATCGAAAATTCAAATATATCATATTCGATTCATGTTTTTTTCTTCGTTAAATTAAATGTTACATAAGATGCTTGAAGTTGTCAAATTGATTATGTGAATTAAACAGATAAAAGTGCATATTATACAGAGTTGTACATCTTACAGATAAATGTGGGAAATACAGATTAAAATGCTAATTAAAAACTTTAATGTGTATTTTTATAGATTAAAGTGTGAAATTTAAACAGATTAAAACATAAAATTTACCCATTAAAGTGTCAATTCTACAAATGAAGTCTAAATTTTAAAAATTAAGGTGATTAAAGTACTGTGTATGAACTTTACAGGATAAATTTTTCAGATTAATGTGTAAACTTTACAGATTAATCTGTAAAATTGTCTACTTTGTAACATTTTCAGTTTCAGTGTGGTTTTAAATGAAAAAATTAAAAAAAAAAATGTCTAGGTAGCGCTAACACGCTCTCGTAGTATACAAAATTTCTGATGATTAATAAGCATCCTAGTTGGTATCTGATTTTTGGATTTGTATATTCAACCTGTTGCACACTGTGTGAATTCTCGAATCCTGTTTCTAACTTCACTAGAGGCTGAAAAGTCGGTTTTTATATTGATGATAATTTGTTTTAATTTTAGGTATCCTGTAACATTTGACATAGATGACGTTTTTTTTTTACTGAGGCTAAACATGTGCTGATTTTCTCGATTATGTGTGTAATGCTTTGATATATATACTTATAATCTCTCTTTCTCTCTCTCCCTTTCTCAAAAAAGAGCTTAAAATATAGAAGACATGATTTTACATGTTTATATTCTGGGTCAGGCAGAAATGCAATATTTTATTATAGAAACGATTCCTTTTATTCAGTCAATTACCACATCTGTCTTGATTTAAATATCTAGAGTAGTTTGTATCGAAGAAAATAGAACAAAAAAAAAAAAGAGATATCAACCACGATTAATGAAATATATGAAAAGAAAAAAAGCGAATTTGCAACGAGATTGTTGCAACATATGTATTCTACTACAGAAAAAAGTCAACTGACATTTACTTCTGAGACATGATTACAGAATCTTTAATTAACATTTACTTTAAAATATTCATTGTGTATGTGTTCCTTGTTTTAAATCCCATTTGTTTGCGTTAGTTGATTAATATTTAAAACTCCGCTTCCATTACAAATGAGTAATAATATCAAAGAGTTTTTATTTTTTTAATGAAACAAGCATATTTCAAATTTCGCTCCATTTCTCCCTCTGGGCTGATTAGCCTTTGTTATTACATTGGTCCGTGACGTCTTCTCCGTTATATATCCAAACAGACTCACATGGACACACAGCTCTGTCAATAAAAGATACATTTTTTCAAAATTAAATATAACCAAAAATCAGATCATCATGGATCTTAAATTTGTGTAATTAACGAGAAATACTGAAAGATTTTTTTAACATATCTAAGTTTTGAATAATTCGTTTTTCTTTTTTTCCCCTTATTTGCAATTAATAATAATTTTAGAATTAAATTGTCAGTTTGTTTTTTTTAAGTTGTTATGTTCAGAAATATATGAATTTCTTTTATCTCCTTGCATATAATTGTTTGCAACAGAAAAAACTGCTTTTTTTGTTGGAGAAAATTGATTTTATTTAAAAAAAAACTAACCCCCCCACACACAAAAAAAGCTGCACATTTACAAGTATATCAACAATGTTCATAAAAATTTAATTCACTACTGAAGAAGTTCTTATAATCTTTTTTGAAATCATTATAGAATATAAATGACATCAAGCATCATCTTAAAGAGGCTGGGGGGGAGCCATTTTCAGACTATTTCGATCTTCTTTAAAAGAAGAGCTTCATATAAAGATATTTAAAAAATGATCAAATTTTAAAACTAAAATGTATGAATTTTTCTTAGCCAAATGATACTTGACAGCTTAAGATACCGTATCTAAAAAAAGTGAAATCTGGTGGTTAATTTGTGGTTAGTTTGTTGACCCCCAGCCTCCTTAATTTTGTCTAGATATACGAAATAGCAATTCATTTGACCAAAAGAAGATAATAAAATTATCACTAAGCTTGCAAATCTATTTTGAGTTTAAATTTTACTCACACGCAGGTGGCTTCGGGAAAAGCTGGACATGTTTCAAAAGTGCAAGCCCGTCTAATACAGGCTATATACGGACAAACTGAAAAACGAGTTCAATAAAATCTTTATATTTGATAAAATTGCAATTTGTTTCTCTGGGAAGATTTAAAAGTATTCTATTATTAACTTTATATTTTTTGATGTTCTCTGTTTCGATATTTAGATTAAAATTTGTCTTCAGATGTAAAGGTGAAAATCGCTTATGATATATTTCACTCTCTTTAAATTTGAAAGCTCACCCAAATTATCATTTTCCATAAACCTTATATCTACTATGTCATTTCTCGTTTTCGCTAAAGTAAATCAGGACTTCCGAGGTTGATGAATATATATTTTTTTTTATAAATCATACTAAAATATGTTATATGTTTGTCTCTGTTTATTTTCAGGACGGTTTCATTTACTTACTAAACCAAAAAAATCTCACGTTTTAAAATGAAAAATTTTATGAGGAAAACAATGTGATTACCTTAAAGCTTTAACTTGTGAATTGAAATTCAAATAAAGACTCAATAAAGGACCGCATCTTACCTCTTAGCCTACAAATTCTGTTACAGAGTTTTAATGTTGCGAAATTGTTTAGATTTCCCCCACAACATCCGTAGATAAACCTCTGGCAGGTGCCCGTTTTGGTGTCGTAGTAATACCGGGGACAGTAGCCTCTGCAATTACCGGGTTCCTTTGGTAAACTACAGATTGATCTGGCTAAATTGTTGTAAATAACATATTCAAGGTTTATAACATTCATCATATGTATCAAAATATACTGTAAATGTATTATATTTGGTGTGTACGGTATTTGGCGGAAATTGAATTTTCAACAAGTTGGCGTGGATTTGATTTAGCGCTTTTTGCATGTGCGTTACATAAACCTTTACAAATCATTTAGCGATATACTTGATTTAGCGGATGCTGCTTTCCGCGAAAGGCGCTAAAAAGAATACACAGCCAAATATGATACGTTTACAGTATTCATAATAATATCAACGAAAGAAGATATATTTGTTTAATGATATACATCACCTATGACAAAATATATATTATTGATTAAATGTAACTATGTCCATAAAAAAGAATGAAAAACCCTTGCAAATCAATATTTATTCAAAATATGGAATGTTTGATGGCAAGTTAGAAAATATTATGAACAATGCACAGTTGTATTGAATCTGTTCCAGGTATTAGTTATAGTTGAGTTATTTGTATTTCCTGACAGTGTATATTTGTTAATTTCAATTTAAAGAAAAAACTCCAACAATTTATTATTTGATAATGCACGCATGCGCTCTATTGCTTACTTGGAGGACTGGGTCGAATTTCCTGTCCGTTGACCACAGCCTGAAATTAAATTGCAATCGTAAATCAAGAAAGAAACTACTTAAGTGAAGGATATGGAGATAACGAAGAATATCCAATATCAAAGTCCAAAAAGCAATACAAAATAGGAGCAGAGCAAACAAGGACCTCCAAAACAGCAGAGGTGGGATCAGGTGCCATGGAAGAGTGAATATCCCCTGCTGACCGGTCACACCCTCTGTGTGTTCCTTGTTAATGGATACGTTTATTTAAGATTGCTTTAGTTTGATACCAATATGTGCTAATTCCTTTTCTTAAAAAAAAAAAATATTCTAAATGACGCATTCTTGGTATGGTCGATAAACAGACACCTACCAATAAGGGATTTGATTCGTTATTGATATTAAAAGGAAACTTAGAACCTTAAAATTACGAACATAAAAGATTCAGTTCAAAAGAAATATCCTTAACGATAAAAAATATGCTTAAAAAGACAATTAGTAAGTTTTTTATTCGAAAACAAAATGAAATTCATTGTGAAGGAAGGGCTATATGCTTAATAATGATTTGCTCTTGATGCATGAAAGTAAGATTTTTGTGTTTTAAAATGCATATCTTACCCCTCAACAAACAGAAGTTATAATTTCTAAAAGAATTATAGGAATTTTTACGCTATTTACTTACGAAAACAACGGCCAATACCAATCCTAGCAGTAAATATCGTTCCATTGCTGTTTGTTTGGATGTCTGTTTCATGTTGTAGTCAATATCATATTTTATACACCAGTACGTGTCAATCAGCATGAATCACGTGACTTTACAATGTGACTTACAAATACAGGTTTTTTTCCCCCTACGATGACTATAATCGGTACATTTTTTTCTTCTGTAGCAATCATTAAAGAATCCAAAGATGATCCACCTCCATGAGCTCCAAATACTGTGAGTAAAAATTAGTTCGTGAAATTTATCCTTCAAAGAAAAATTATCATCTGGATGCATAATCCCTTTCTATGGTTTGTTGGTTTTTCTTTCATAAAAAAAACAAACTTGAGTGTTAATTCAAAATTATATGTTCCCGAATCTTAAAATAAAAAAAAAAATAACAACTTAAAACTTGTTTGAAAGGGATGGCTCATAAGAAAAAACAGCATTATTCTTCAAAACATAAAATTGTTATCGAGATAATGTGAAACGTCTCTTCATAATTAAAATAAAACAGAGTACTTATTTATTAACAATAAATACAATGGGTTGAATTATTTATTAAAAACAGGTTTTTACATTTAAAAATCAGCATTCGAAAAGAAAACACTGTCACAATTGATGTCCGTATTTGAATTCCATATGTTTTTATCTGATTCTGTATTACCAATATTATTTGCCCAATATGTTTACCATACTTTTAAGCTTGTTTAGCAGGTTTTACCTGGTGATTTAAATCCCGTGAAATCAGATCGGGCGTAGCAACTGAAGAGAGCGGTCGAGATCTAAGACGGCTCAAGTTTCCCCCTGTTTAGTTATATATTTTATTAATATTTCATGACCAGAGGTCCACCTATTCTGGGTAAGTGTATTTTATTTATTATTGTAAGCTGTATGATTTATTGACGGTTTTTATTCCTGAAATGGCCACAGAACTTTGTTCTATAATTTCATTCGTAAGTTAGATTCAAAGTAGTATTTGCTCATGTAAAGTATATGTGTTATAAGTAAAAGTATAAGTGTATGAGTATATGTATAATGTAGACGTAGTGTTGTATGTATAAAGTATGGAGTCTAGTATTCGTCTTAAAGTGGTTGTCTACAAGTAATACACTTAGTTTATGTGTGAACGTATAAGTTCTATAAAGTAAAGTAGTATGAAGTGAAGTGAAGTGAAGTATAAGTACAGTGCAGTAAAATGCAACTATGTAATGTGTAATGCAGTAAAATGCACCTAAGTAAATGTACAGCAAAATGTACAAGTATGAGCAATTATATGTATAATTATATTATGTCTGTATCTAACTTTGTTTTATTTTATAGGCCCCATTTATTTAGGCCAGTTATCCTTTTATGCCACCCAGCAGGAAGCCATTGGGCCATGTAGAAACGCGTGTGTTTGTACATATTGTAAATAAAACTATATATAACAAAACTGTATTGAGTGATTTTGGGAAGCCGCCAGCCACCCTGCGACAAACACACACACACACACAAATGTAACTGAAACCCTGCACTACTAATAAAAATGGAAGGATGATAATTATCGAGATGAAATGCTATGAACGGGAAAGCATATTGTATTCAATTAAACCGGATACATTAAGTGATAGATTTGTTTGTGATCACAAACACTCGCGTTAAAATCAATTTTATTGTGAAGGTAATGATCCAATAAACAACGAAAAAGTTTAACAAATATTTTAGAGTTTAGAAATACTAGTATTAACGAGAGCATAAAAAAAGATACATGATAATACATAATAGCAAGAACCATTTTTCTAGAAGCAATGAGATACTTCATTAAATATAATCGAAAAAGAAAACCAATCCTTGAACAGAGTACATAACTGCAAAAAACCTTTATTTACTTTATGAAATTTAAAATTTTGTCGTCTTTACAATCATTCTAATTAAAATCTCATTTTCAAGCAGATTTTCCAAAATAGTAAAATTCAATTCTACTTTTTAAAAGTTTCTTGGCACATTTAGCTTTCTTTTCAATGAAAGTTTTGTTAACTCGTGTTACTCAGGGAGATTTTTCAAAGATAGACAATCCGTTCATCTTTTTCAAGTTTCTTTGTAGGCTTTTGTGGCAGAATTATAATGCGGCCCTTAACTAGCGCAATCTTTGCTTTCACTTTAAAATAATATACAGTAAAATTCAGTTATAACAAAGTCGCTGGGACCTTGGAAATTACTTCGTTATATCCGTAATTCGCTATAACCGTATAAATTATTCAACAAATTTATATAGCAGGGGATCCAAAATGATTTTGCTATATCCGTGAATTCGCAATATCCGTGTTCGTACTAAACAAGTTTTACTGTAATTGTCTAATCATCAATTTCAATTGAAAACAATTTTTTATAATTTCTAGAATGTTGAATTTTAGCCAATTGAAGATCTATGAATCATTCAAACACATATGAATCGATTAGAACACAAAAGCCTGTTTAAAATATGTTTCAGATGACACAAACTCTATCACATTCTTTTTTTTTGAATTCTAGCAAATTGTGATTCAAAATGAATAAAAACGCATTTTGAAATATTTGTTCGCTCCCAGCATACAGTCACGTGGCTTACTTTCATTATAAAACAGCGTTTTTATACATTGATGTTATCCATTATCTGATTTTGGTTTAAATTACTTGAAATTATGAACACGAACATTGGTCAAGCTCAAAGATGCATAGAAAGGGTGCATAGCAAACATAGACCTCTAAAACATCAGAAGTAGGACAAAACAACATGGAGGAATGGGCATCTGATGTTCCTTATTATGGTCAGGAAAACAAAAGAAAGTCGAATCCATAGACAATATGTAATCAAACTAAAGGAAAGATGACATTGTGTTGCTAAGATGTAAAAACAGAGCTCATTGTCTACTGTTTTTCTTTTCTTCTTTATGGCTTTTCGAATGAAATTTCTGGAATATCCTTAGGCGGTTTTTTAATGACCTACTGATTAAAACTTCTCGTTTAAACACATAGGCTTTTATAATATAAAATCAAACAAAATCATTTGGTGAGTCAATCTAAAATCAAATCAAATAGTCTATTTGGCAAATGTTTGCATTTGCTTGCTAAATGATGGTTTGTATTATCAAAATATTAGAAAGGATTTTCTCTTTCAACGTAAATAAGATATTAAAGCGAGAGAAGGAGATGTTTTTTTTCTTCTTTTTATCAACTCGTTTATCAATAAAATGGGTTAAGTCCTCCAACAAGCTGTCTGAGTTCCCATTGGTGCCAGTTACGCCCTGTCATTTGCAGCCTGCATGTTTCTTTTCCAAATCGAGCAGAATATTTAAAAAAAATCTACATGAAAATAAGATCTTTTGCTGTATAAATATATATATATATATATATATATATATATATATATATATATATATATATATATATATATATATATATATATATATATATATCAGTATTTGTACAATCGTGACCGATTCTTCTTTACGCTTGAAAAGACTCCAAGAACTAAAACAACACCTGACGCGACAAAATTACCCAGTGAACCTTATTGAGGACGGAATCAACCGGGCTAAAGACATACCTATAACCCAATTACGAAATATTCGCCATCCAGAGGAAAACGACGAAGAGAATATGCCATTTGTGATATCTCACAACCCCCGTAACCACAATATTCTCAATTCAGCAAAGCGATTTTTTTCGAATATGAGAACAATCTGATAACATGAAAAATCTTCTGGACAAGTCGTCAATTATTAACAGCAGAAGACAAGCACCAAACCTGAAGAGGATATTAACCAAAGCAAAATTTTCCTCTAGCAACCAGAGTGTCGTCAAAAAGTGTAGTGACCCCCGATGCGGGACGTGTGATTTCATTCAGGAGGGCGAACAAATTACACTTAAAAACGGAAAAGTTTTAAAACCGAATACCAATATGAATTGTAAATCTTCAAATTTGATTTACTGTGCAACATGTCCAACCTGTGGCGAATATTATATAGGGCAGACAAATCAACTTAACGCACGAGTGAGGGTACACAAACAACATATACGGGACGAAACTGTCAGATGCACCCCTTGTTCAGAACATTTTGCCGAGTGTGGTAGAGGGAAATTTAAGATTTTTCCGTTCTACAAAATGTGGACATCGGATGAAATCGCCCGTGTTACCAAAGAGGACTACTTTATAAAACTTTTTAAACCAAAACTGAATTGCAAATGACATTATGTATAATTCAGAAAACTTATTTTATTTTTATGCTTTGATTATACATTCTTCGAATGCGTTGAAAAAGTTCATGCAGCCGCAACTGCAAACTACATTATGACGTCATAATGCCTTAAATTATCACGACGTCATTAGAAACGTTCTTGACAACATTTTGAATTTTTTTATAACTGTCTGAAGAGCCAACATGGCTGAAAGCGCTAACAGTAAAGATTATATTTAATTTGGACTGCAGCATTCTGTTTTTATTTATTTAAGTATTTTTTACTGTACCAAGGATTTAACTTATTAACGTATTCTTTGACTGGTACAAGATCAGAATGTCGAAGACAAGAGCCAAATCAGTAGCGGAAAATACCGGAATAGAAAGGATTTTAGAAGAAATCTCCGGAAAATTATCAATTCTTTGCAGTAAGTACGATAACTTTACTACTTCATTACTGACTATGGAGCAGCAAACTCTTGAATACAGAGAAAAATTGGACCTTTTGCTGTCAAATAGAGAACAATTAAAGAACAATGAAAATAGAGAAATACATTCAGGAGAAATCCTAATACAAATGTGCAGGAAATATTTCAAGAGTGGAGCGATCTTAATATTGAAAAAGAAGCTTACAAAAAGAGAAACCAAATGAAAGGATTATGGTTCAAACTTCTAAACCAGAGAAAGCAAGCCTATTGGAATGCCATAAAAAGCGAAAATTTAGCCGACACCTATGAGGAATGGAAAAACTGTGAAAATGTTATTTTTCCTAGAAAATTCCGAGTTAAGGAAATAACAACAGAACCAAGTGAAGAAAGCAAAATCCGGACCAACCTGGCACTTCAAAGATTTGAAGCCGAAATTACACTTCTTCGCCTCAGAGTTCCGAAATACAAAAACA